CTCTTCTCTCTCTCTCTCTCTCTCTCTCTCTCTCTCTCTCTCTCTCTCTCTCTCTCTCTTTTCTCTTTCATAATACCCTCTCTCTTTCTCTTCCTTTTTTGTCTTTCATAATTCTCTCTCTCTCTTGCTTTTTTGTCTTCCATAATACTCTCTCTCATACACACACATACATACACACACACACTTGAAGGTAGACATAAAAAGTCCATGTCGGCAGACAACACAATGACAAAGACAAACAAAGCAACAGAAACAACAAACAAACAGGAAAGACGCTAACGGCATTGTCTGAAGAGGTAGAACGGTCTTTGTAAGGTACAGTCATGTTCTACTTGTCCAGTTTGACTTTGAATGGCATGCTTGTTTAGAGGAAGATTCGGTTCTGCCATCAAAGAAACACACCCTAACATTTTATTATCATAATATACTGTTGCAGTTGAATATTCAATATCATTTACCATACAATAATACTAACGTACACTTAATTAGAATTACTATAACAAGTGGGAAAATAATAGCACATTTGCTCATTTTTATTGCATTCAAGGATGTAATGATGGAAAATAGTGCATTGAGAAGATCAAAGAAAATGAAAATTAATAGTAGCATGAGAAACAATATGGGGAATAGATACAAAGATATTAAATAATTTGAAAATACGTATGGATGGTTTCCTCTCAATGCCCTGGCCTCTCTCTTTTTTTGGTTTTGCTTTTGGATTGGTTTCTCTCTCTTAACTTCCATTTCAATGTTATTCTCCAAAAAGCAAAAGGAAAACAAAAATAAAAAAAAAAAGAGTAATGATCCTATAGGACCCTCTCCCACTCATGTATGTAGGACCCCAAATGATCACCATTAAAATTGGCACAGAGGTCTAGAAAAGTTATCAAATGGGTGTGGGACTTGACTTTTCTATAGATCCATGCCAAATTTAATGGTCACATGGGTGGGGGAGGGTCCTATAGGATCATTTCTCTAAAAAAATATATACTTATCAAACTTTGTATGAGAAGGATTCTCATACAAAGTTCTTTTTTAGATAATTTGCAGTATTGAGTTTGGATGATCAAGTGGCCTCTCTCAGGGTCTAGCTGCTCTTTGCAGTCTGGCCTAGGTAGTATTTTACCAATATGCACAAATTCATATTAGATTCCCTCTTCCAAAAAGAAAATTACAGTAATATTCTAGACGAGTAAAGTTTATTATGGTCATCTGCTAGTTTTGAGTTTTGTAAGATGTATACAAGGATTAGAAAAGACGATGGCAGCACCGGCAATATCAGTAATGATAGAAAAAAGGAAATGGAATCGCCGTCATCAGATGATACTAAATAAATATTGTGTATTTTGGAACACTTTATGGAGTAATTAATTTGAGTTTCACTTGGCAGGCCTATTAACACCAGCATCTGGCCTATAAATGTCCTAAAAATCTCGCATTTCAATCAGAAAAGAATGTCACTAGAAATCACACATATCTAGTTTATGGAAGCACACTAAAATCTCTGTAGACTGTGGGACAACCATAGTACATTGGGATCCCCACCATCCAGTGATATGGAGGGTGACGGAGAGAGTTGGGCACAACAAACAAGACATAACCAGAATGGTGTGTCCTACACTCTCTCCATCACTGTCTGGCATTCCATGGCAAAGGGATGAGGGATAACCCTAATGAACTGTGGTTTTCCCATATTCCATTGGGTTATTTCCCTTTAGTCATAATTTGGGAGGATGAACATACTTTCTTTACCTTCACCAATAGTCCCCACAAGAACATATTCCATCGTTGAAATGGTGGAATCGGGTGGAGTTCCCGAGGATTATCTCTCGCCCTTCAATCCGTGTTATAAGCTTCATAGCACTGTGACAATCCCCACAGACCCTCAGATTCTGCATAACCCTAATGGGTGCTGGAGCATCAATACTAATAAGCCCAAACGCCACTGCCAACTTTTCACTATGATAGCTCAAAGCTGGCACCTTTTGCTCTTCTTCCAATTGCTGCAACACAAAGCTCTTATCAGGAACATGCCCAAATCTCCTCATTTCCTCTCCCAACTCCTCAAGCTTCTCATGAATCTCCCTTAGTCTTGGGTGGACCCGATCATTGGACACAAAAACATGAACCCCCATTTGGGCTTCGACCCAAGAGCAAGCTGTCACCTTTTTCACTCCCCTCTCGTGCATCATCTTCCTCACTCTTGCAACCCCCTCCCATAGGCCACAAGCTGAATATATATTAGCCAATAGCACATAGCCAACAGAGTTCATTGGCTCAATGGCAAAGAGCCTTTCCGCTGCTCGTTCAGCTAGCTCAACATGCCTATGGGTTCGGCAGGCGCCCAACAAGGCCCCCCATATTACCCCATCAGGCTCAATAGGCATGGACTCCACAAACTCCTCGGCCTCATCGAGCCGGCCACAGCGCCCTAGCAGATCAACCATGCATGCATAATGGTCAGGGTAAGGGGAAATTCCAAAATCTTCACTCATGGACCTGAAGTGCCAATACCCTTCCTCGACCATCCCTGCATAGCTACATGCATGGAGCACATTCACATATGTGACATGGTCAGGGGCAATGCCATCCTGTTCTACCATTGTTCTGAATAGTTCAAGCACTTTCTCACCCTCTCCATTATGTGCGTGGCCAGCTATAATGGCATTCCATGTCACCAAATTGCGAATGGGCATTGCACTAAAGCGCTTCGATGCCTCTTTCATGTCGCCACATTTAGCATACATACTAACTAGAGAACTCGCGGTGTATATATTTGAATCAAAACCAAGTTTTATGGCATGGACTTGCACCTGTTTGCCATAATTAAGAGCAGTTAGGCTCGCACAGGAACTGAGCACACTAGCGAAGGTGCCATTGTCTGGTTTAAAATCTGATTTGAGCATATGGGTGAAGAGTTTAATGGCTTCTTCATTGAACCCATTTTGTGCATAACCAGCAATCAAGGCCGTCCATGAGATGGTGTTGAGGTTAGACCTCTCATTGAAAACAAACATTGCTGACTCTAATGACCCACATTTTGCATACATATCAATGATAGCATTAGATACAAATACATCGGATTCGAGCCCACAATGGATGGTTTTGCAGTGAACCTGCATACCGAGTAACAAGCTACCAATACTAGCACACGAGCTCAAAATGCTCGAAAAGGTGAAGTGGGTGGGAGCAACTCCATATTTCAACATCTCTATAAACAAATTCATAGCTTCCTCTGATAAGCCCTCTCTACTATACCCACTGATCAAGCCATTCCATGAAATGTTATCCCTATGATGCATGCCCACAAACACTCTCCAAGAACTTTCAAGCTCCCCTGATTTTGCATACATGTCCATAACTGCATTGGCCACAAAGACATTGCCCTCGAAACCAGTCTTGAAGACCAGAGCATGAATTTGCTTGCCTTCAACAAGGCCTGAAATTCCAGCACAAGCACTAAGAACTCCGGCAAATGTAAATTGAGAGATTCTCAGACCAGTTCTAAGAAACTGAACATATAAAACCAGAGATAATTCCCCCTTTCCAAGCCTTGCATAACCTGCAATCAAAGAATTAAAAGAGACATCATCACCCAACTTCCCCATCTCTTCGAAGCAATGCCAAGCTTCTTCCATGTCTCCAAGCTTTGAGTATACGTCCAACAAGGTATTCCTCACTATTTCTTCCATAAAAACACCAATCTTTAACACTACAGCATGAATCTGCAACCCATGGTTTAAGCTCT